GTGGATGTGTGGAGGACGCAGGTGAAAATTGGCAAAAATGACTGTGTGGTTTTCGTGTGTGGGAGAAGGAGGAGTGTGCACAGAGGGAGGCTGAGGGCTGCAAAGACTCTAAAGAGGAGGGCAATCAAAACAATTCACTGTGGTGCTGTTTGAAAAATAAGGCTTGTTTCATTAACCAGTTGCTACTCTACCAAAGGGAAAAGGATGTGTGTGTGGTATGCTGTGTGTAAGCCACAAGGGCTGCTTTCTAGATGGTGGGGAGCAGAGAGATTTTAATCTTATTAACAGCCTTTCCCTGTTCGGCAAATAGCTTTCCAACTGCTTGGGTAATGAACTGTTTGAAAGTGTTTTCGGCACATGCTAACATACATCACTCAGACACATTGATAGATGGAGTAACATGCACAGAGAAACATACGTTTTGCTTTCTAGACTAGCTTCCCCCTCCTCTATTGCCAGCAGTCCTCACGGCTCGGACACCTACAGTATACAACAGACCGCTGATTGTTTAGCGATGTCATTAGGTCCTACAAAAGACCTGCAACAAACACAGAGCCTTTAGTCGTCCTGTTTCAGTTTCCTATTCACCAGAAGCTTTTATTCTTTATACCCCATATTGTGTAGCAGAATTGTAGCAAGGCAACCATGTGTTGAACAGCAAAGCAGACCCAGATCATCACACTACCACCACTGTGTTTAACTGGAAGATGTTTTCTATTAAATGTATTTCCAGTCAACCATGTGTTGGTAAAACATTTTTTTTTTACTGTAATACAATTTACAAAGTTTTGATTTCATCTGCTTTCTATACTTCTCTGTGATGCTAGCCATAGACATTGCACTACAGCAACCCATGCAGTGCATTTTATCAACAGGTCATAAATACTTTTATTTTTAAGGGAGACTTCTTCATTAGATAAACAAAATAGCGTGCATTGGTCAAAACATGGTTTTGCAAGGTGTGCAAATAAAAGTTTTAAGTTCTTAATATTTGGCCAGCATAGTTGTGGTTCCAAATATTGCTGACAACCAATACAAGGACTAAAAAAAAAGCATGAGGCACTGGGAATTATGGTTTAGGTGATTTTTTAGCAAATTTAAAAGGAGAATTTGTTCTATTTCTGCAACGGTACGTTTTGCCTACAAACTCATGTAAATCATTTATAATGAACATCAACATAAAAAGAAACAGTTTAGGTTTACGGTGCTTTTAATGTCATCCTGGTTTCTTTTGTGATCACCTGGAAAACTAATTAAAGCATTCCTGGACTGATAATGAGAAGTCAGTCACTCATGGGAAAGTTTACTACTTTGAGATCCTACAAACTGTGGTACTATGAAAAATCATTCTGCCAGGGAAGTTCTGTTGAATACAAACACAGAACATATGCACAACAAATTGTGCAAGTTGGCAATTTTTACAGATATATAGTTAAAGTTTCCACTTCAGAATCTCTGAATATATAAATATATATATATATATATTTATATATATATATATATATATATATATATATATATATATATATATATATATATATATATATATATATATATATATATATATATATATATAAAATATATATATAAAATATATGACTCTTTTGGATGCTGCTGGAGTTCTTGAGTATATCTTTGAGTTATACAGATAAAATCTTAAGTTTATGATTCATTTTATTGTTTGACGAGACCCCTTATCGTTGCTGTCTTGTCTCATCCTAAGTTAGTGAGTCTGCTATACTCAATCATTTTAACAGCTTTTTTCATCAAATGATTTCAAGGATGGAAAACTAAAAAGGCCTTGAAGGAGAATAAGGAGCAGGATGGAGGGTGAGGCAGAATGCAAATGCTTTCAGGATCAAGGGCATCACTTGTCAAGGGAAGGCCAAAAACAGATATTATGCACCTCTGTTCCTCGTTTATCTCTGAAGGGATATACCATTTATTCTATGACTTTGCTTGATTCATAACTTAGAATTTGTTTTTTGTTTTGTTTTGTTTTGCCGTGATGAATATATGAAGTGTTAGCACAGAAAAGATAGAGGTAGAAGAAAAGCTCATTCTTTTCTTAATCTAATTGAATTTCATATGAATAAGTTGTCATATGCAACACCAGAGAGCTCATCTTCTTGCCCTTCCAAGATGCATCGTATAAACAATTTGGAAAATGTTCATATTTATATTTTCCTTTCATTAAAAACATCTTAAAAAGATATAAGCCGTTTTTTAAATTCTTTTTATTATGAAAATTTCCTCTGATAATTTTTTCAGCTCCTCTCTGCCTTAGAAAAGCAGCAGGAGTCGCTGTTGTTAGGTGACCAACACCTGTCCTTGGCCAAGGTTGGTAGTTTATTCTAATAAAGGAAGTTTCTTCTAAAGGATAAAAGCTCTGCAGAAAATTTAGCTGCAGCTCTCACTGCCATTATTTACACAAACAACACTTTAACTCCCCTTATTGCTTATTGATTTTCCTATTGCTAAGACAAAGAGAATAATTAACTTGTTTCCACTGGATATGGATTAAAACAAATTGTCATGCAATAATATTTACTGCTGGAAACACAAACTTTGTCTTTTATCATAATTCTGTGTGACAGGCCTAAACCCACCACATTATTAAATAGTTCATTTGTACAGTTTCATTCATGTAAAAATCTAGATCTTCTGTTTGCAAAGTATATTTTAGAGATCATTAATGAATAATCCCACCACATAAGAACAAATATATATAGTTAAACCACATTCTAAGCTCTGAATATGTCCTGGAGCTTCCATCAAAACACTACAACCAATCTGAAAACCAAGACAAGGTAGTCCACCTAATTTAACAGTTCTGACAAGAAGAGCATAAATCAGAGAAAAAGAATTAACTCTGGAGGAGCTGCAGAGATCCACAGTTCAGGTGACAGATTTTGACGAGATGACTAACAGTCATGTACTGTATGGAAGATGCCTTATAGGGGACCAAGCCAATTTTTATTTGGTCTTCATAGCATTTTTTCCACCATGCCCTTTAGGTCAAATCGCTGCATGTGAAAATAATAAGCGACACACACAGCTCACGTTCGCTTTCATTTGATAGCGATACTTTACATTGGATAACGTCAGGTTTTAGGCCACTTATTACGGCAAACAGCATAACAGACCAACATTTCTCCTGCTAGTCCTACTCTGTACGATTCAGACTCCTCTGCTGGTATTTCAGATGCCAGGTTTTCAGAGCGCTTGGCAGAGTTTTATGAACTAACAAAGGAAGACTTGGAGGGGAAAAAAACATGTTTTTTAATACAAATATTGCTCGTCAGGACTTAACAAACAAGTCAGTATATCAGCCACGTCAACTTAAGTTTTAAAGCGACACATCGAATTTAAGCATCCGAGCTATCTTGGGAAATATCTGCTACTGGATGAGGAACGTCAGAAATAAATTTTGATACAGATCATTTCATCTGGATTTACCTGTCAGTTTCTGAAGTTCTGTGGAATCTGGCTAAATTACGGCTTTACTGCACAAACTATACTTTGACTGCATCAAGTATGCATCAAGTTTACATTTCTTTCCATATACAATGATCACACATTAAAAGAGTGAAATATTAAGTTATAGTGTGGCTTAATTTATCAACTATGAACTGGTCCAACATTGACCACATCACATTACCACCCCCTTCCTGGAACACAGTGGTGACAGTTTCGTGCTGTGGGAGCCTTTTTTCAGTGGAACCAGAGGAACTAATCTAAACATTCAACCAGAGCTACAGATCTATGTGTTGAAACAAAAGCAGAAAAAGGCAGAGGTAAATTCCATTGGGAATCAAGTCAAAACTTAACAGTTGATGATAGCTTTAGATTCTGTACTGTTATTTATCAAAGAGCTGGTTTGCAACAATTGAGTCTCTGCAGATCTAAATCTGATAGAGATATTCTCCAAAAAACATGCAGCTATCATTGCAGCACAAGCTGATGCTATAAGACATTTGCTGAGTGGGGTTGGAAAGAAATGCCACATATCTCCCAACAACATTTCTCAAAGGAATTTAAAACCAATGCGTCACTCTCCAGTTTTAACAAGTTTGAAGGTTTATATGCTGTAAAGGGTGAGCTAACTATAAATGTTTGCTGTGCTCTAAATTCCTTCTGTTGTCCTCCTTTTCAAGTTTACTTCTGCAGCTCCACTACAGAAGCCTAACATTTAGGCCTTAAGGCCACAAAATGCTAAAATCTATTTTTGTGTTTTCCTGCCTGAGCTTCCTCCTTTACTCACTCCAGAGTAGTCCTACACAGGAACACGCATTTACTTTCCAAGGTCTTTGACCCGTTTTGCCCTGGAGCGAAAAAGCTCTGAGATCTCCCACTGCATTACTTTACCTTCACTTGTCTGTCTTTTCTAAGGAGTGCGTATTTCTCCCTACGGTGGGTTTTGTGTATTGATCAGTAAATATCTAATCCATCAATAACAATTTTAGGGAATAAAATGTAAAAAAAAAAAAAAATCCACCTTGAAGAATCCTGTAATAAGCTACTTTGTCTAGAAAACAAATCCTGTTTTTAAAACAGTTAATTGAATTTCTGCAGAGGTGTGCTGCTGTTTTATCATTATGTGCTAAATGCGTTCTTTTGAATGGTTCATTGAGGCATTTGGTGGTGATTTAATGTGGTGCTTATTCCCGATTCTGCCTATCTGCAGTATTTTAGAAGAGCAGTCCTGGTTATTATATTTTCCCCTTTACCTTCAGCTCCCAGCAGCAGCATTCTTTGGTCCTTGATGTCTGCTTTTAAAAAAACGGAGCTTGACAGCAACAGCGGTTAGTCTGGCTTTTGTGTTTGTTGCCTCTTTCTCTTTGATACAGGACAGACAGACGTATATTAAGCGCCTCCGCTTTTTGACGTTTTTGTTCATCTCCTCCTCCCTGCATTCTCCTGCAACATCACTCGCCGTGTCCCTTCTCTTATTTTTTATTCATTCCTAACCTGTCACTGTTTTCTCTCCCTCCTTGCAGGCAGTACTATGAGATGCTGTACAACACTCCAGATGAGTTGCTGAACCTGGTGGTGGACCAGGGCGTTCGCTACACAGAGCTGGAGTACATCAACGCCCTCTCTCTTCTCCATCGCAGTCAGACGGGTGTAGGGGACATGAGCACCCAAAACACCCGTCTCCAGAGGCTGAAGGAGATCATCTGCGAGCAGGCCGCCATCAAACAGGCCACTAAGGACAAAAAGATCACTACGGTGTAGCAATAAAACAGAGGATTACCCGGCCTGACATTTTCTGTTCCAATGTTTTGTTACTGATGCATTAAATCTCTCATAGATTGTGTCAGACTTGAAATTTTAAGAGTTTGTGTTAAAGTGCATCCTTTGTCTTTTTTGCCTGATGTGATGAAAGGGGTTGTAGTTGAGAGCTGACACAGATATACATCTTTCCTCCTGAAATGGAGATCATATTTAAGCTTATGCCGCACTGACTCACTATAATTGGGAAGTTTGGTGACAGCCAACACAACTGCAAACTTTGCAAGTCTAGTCTCTCTATCAAGTATCATCCATTGTCAGTTTCCTCTTTTTTTAAAAGACATAATAAATCCTTGCCGCATTCCGAACCTCCTAACAACACTCAGCTCTCCACAACAACAGCTCCAGTTTAAACGACACCATCTTGGACATTCACCTGAACTCCGGCCCTATCTCGTCTCATTTTCCTATTAGAGCCCAAACCGGTGCTCTCAATTACACCTCCATCTCTCCTCTCCCGCCAGCCCCTCTGGGCTCACTGATGCTGTCTGCAATAACAGATGCCAGATTAGACTGTCTGAATGAGGCCACATCCTCCGCCTGCTGCCAATTTAGTTTGGTCCCGAAAGAGTTCCCCAGCCGAGAATTGTATCATATCTGCAGTTGTCAAAAATCTGTGTACTGGTCTGCCTTTTTTTAAGTTTCAGAAGTTAACTTGTGCAGCTGGAGCAGAGTAGATTGCAACTTTTTTTTAATAAATAATATTGTTTGGATATAGTATACCAGAGATAGAATGTCTTGCAAAATGATAAGCGTCCTTTAAACTTTTCCACCTTTTGTCACGTTACAATCTCAATTTTAATGCATTTTGTCAGCGATTCTAAATATTTGCACATTGTTTCTTGCAAAATAACTTCAATAGAGCGATTTCTGACCAAATACAGCCCTGCTGCGTGATTCTGCCACCTCTATGCTTCATGGTTGTCTTGGTGATTTGCCATGGATTTGTTTTTCTTTCTTTTTAACCTTAGATTAACTGTTGCATGCAGCAAAGAAAGCTATATTTTGGTCTATGGGCAGAACACCTCCTCTTTTATATATATTTTTTATTATCTTTTTTTTTCTTGGCACTTATTTAGTAAATAATATTAAGCATGTCAACAGATTCTACCTCCTGATCTCAGGATTGCTGCATCTTCTCCAAAGTTACATAATAACCTGATAAAATAAAACAAAATTTCCGGTTGTAACATGAGATTATGGGTCAAAAAGTTTAAAGGGTATAATTATTTTTCACTTTATATGCAGATGTTTTTAAATGCATCCTCTGCAGTCCTATTATAAAGGGATATGGCTTTCTCTTTAAATCACTAAAAATAAACCAAACACTATAGACAAGAGAGAAGATCCCAAGTTGTTTCCCCACCCTGTTTTCTGTTCATTAACTTGGCAAAGAAGTATTTAACGAGTGTAGGAGAGAGAAATGGGAGCCTTGTCAATACGGCGGTCCCACCACAGGTCTACTTGAAGCCCACAGAGCAATCCATCATAGTGACACACAGTCTGGAATCGATGGGGAAACAACGATGGAGCTGCTGAGTGGTTCGCCTACTCCTCTGTAATGCACACTTGGTGCAAAATTCAAGATGTGCTCATTCATTTGTTCACTCCAGAGCTGGTGCTGAAAGGTTATACAAAAGGGAATTTTAATACAATGTTCCCCAACTGTGTCATGCTTCTTATGTAGGCTATTAGACCTCCAACACACTGGATGGCTGATCTTTTCGTCATGCTTATTCCTTTTTGGGTTTTTTTGTTTTTTTACACCATGTTGTGCATCGCATATTTTCCTTTCAATGCACTCTAGTTTTGCACATTTATTGAATCTTATTAAATGATTTTTACACATATTCTGTTCTTTTTTCCTTAAAAATAATCTCAGATTAGTCTGCTTGAAACAAGCCCTTTGTTATTTTGTCAGTGCATATGGTAATAAATATCTGAATTCTCCATATTTCTGTATTTTGTGTACTTTTTGTGCATTATATTTTCCACTGATGCTTTTCAAGAACTGCCTGTCACACACAGAAATTGATAAGTATATGTAGTAGTTGAGTTGTTTTTCATCCTACAGTATATCTGGAACCTGTCTGTTATGCGTCTCTAAAGCTTGAGGAGCTTAGGAGTGACATATTGGGAAAATTAAACACACGGCATAGCATACCACCTGAAGGCCTCAGTAGTTGGCATAAATCCACACAGTGAACTGTTCTTGGCACCGTATGATATTTACCAATTATAAATGTCCCCAGAGCTCTGTTGATTACTGTAACTACATTTTGATGCAAAGTCAATTAGTAGCAAAAGCACAATCCAGCACTTATGCTCAAACATTAATTTACCCATCTATTGAGATCTTTTTTTTTTTTACATTCTATATATATAGATGCAATTTAATCAGCTGTTTTCATTGATTGTCAAGTTAATTAAGGCCTGAACTTTTACTGTGCCTCTCAGAGAGCTAAATATGCTTTGATATGATCAATTCCCTTAGCCTTCTGCTGTGGTGTTGGAAGGCGATCTTCCAACCAAAAATAAGTCCTATTTTTTTTTAGCTTTTATTAGAATATTTTCCATGACATGCTGTTCAACTTGTTCTGCCACCAATACTTCTGGCTAGCTTTAATTGGAATGCCTTAGAGCGGTAACTCCCAACATGGGGAACTTGTACTCCTAGTGGCCCAGGAGTATATTGCAAAAGTGACATGAAAATATTTTATTTATTAGGTAGTAAAATAAAATAGGGCTGGTATTTTTTTTGCTTTCTGAGGACCTAATTGAAAAATTAAGCAAGCTTTTTTTCAACCAAAAAGTAAGAGAAACAGACTGGATGTAGAGAACAGCCTTGGATCAGCTGGTTTTCACACTGATCTATTAGAGCTCATCAAAGCATGTCAGGTGATGAAAACAAATAAAACTAATTAAGTCAGTCTGACTATAATTTTTGTTCTGTATTTTGTTCCCAAATTCATTAAGATTTAATGTGATTATAGGAGGTACTCAGAGGAGTTCCAGTTTTATAAATAAAGGTTTAATTTGATTTTATTTTGTATTTATTTTGATTCCTCACTAACTTCCAGGCAACATATTTATGTTTTATTTGAAATGGAAAGAATAAAATGCCTAAGAATTAAATGCTCAAATTAAAATATTTAATAAAATAGTTTTTATTTTATAATCAGTTACTGTATGTTACAGAAGAGGATTAGGGCCACTGAAAAAATAAAAAAGTTAAGTGATTTTGAAATTTTATTTCAGTATAATATGAGAAAAAAAAGTCAGAATTCTGAGATTAAAGTCTAAATTCTGAGAAAAAAAGTCAGAATTCCGAGATTAAAGTCAGAATTCTGACTTTTTTCCCCATATTAAACTGAAATAAAATTTCAAAATCAGTTATCTTTTTTATTTTTTCAGTGGCCCTAATCCTCCGTATGTTCCTACTGCATGTTGCATTCACAAATAGCTTCGCACTGTGGTGAAAAAAGAACTACAAATCCCACAATGCGGTGTACCTGGTACTCTGTTGCCATGGTTTCCAAACGAAGCCAGTTCACCTGGAGATAAGCTAAGTTGCTAGCTAGAAAGGCAAAAAAAAAAAAAGGTTCTTTGTTTTCAGCAAAATAAACTGAGCACTCAATGGAGAACAGATTAGAGAACCGAATTTCACCTACGCCGTCGGACATAACTAATGGTTCATTGAACGCAGCACAGGCTGTAAATGACGAGGAGCTAAAAGGAAGCAACGAAATTAAGGTATAAAAGTCTACTTTAGATTTACTTGTATGATTATTGGATATATTTTGATTTTATTTTAGTACATATTGTTTTGTTTTCATAACATTAGCCTAGCTTATATATGAATTAAACGCAAAGACCTTGTTATGTTATTTATATTCACTCTGCAACTAAACTTAAGAAAAGTGAATAATCTTGGTTCAAACTGAATATTTAGGAAAACAAGTATTTCTCTTTCTAACCTTGACCTTATGACGTAATTTAAGTATTACAATATCTGAAACTGTCTTAATATTAAACAAACATTAAAAAAAATTTTACATAAAAAAGCAAGTTTAAATCTTAAAAAATAACAATTAAACCAAGAAAGGTGCCTATTAAGAAACGTCTTAAATCATAATACCAGTGGTAATTTTAGATTAATTTTTTTTGAAGGGGAATCAGTTTTTGTTTGTTTGTTTTTTTCTCATGGGGAAACAAAACAAAAAAATAACACACACCCCAAAAAAAAACAAACAGGGAAGCACTGCATCCTTTCGTTTATGAAGTGAGCAAAAAAGCCCAGGTTGCAGACCCCTGATCTAACTCATAAAAACTGATCTGATTTTAATACGACCGAAGCTTAAAGCTGGCTGCAGTTTCTAAATAGAGCTTAAAATTTACTGTAAAGGAGACATTTTCAATTGGTCTAAGGGTCAAATCAGTTTGTCTTCTCCATCAGTGCATAATCATGATGAGAAACTGATTTAGTATTACATTGCAAAAAACATTCAAAAAGTATAATTTCTTAAATAAATGTATTTGCCCTTCATTTGAGCAGGTCAATAAAATGATCTGCTAAAGGAATGAGTATTTATGCCCCCAAAAATAAGATGATTAGATTTTAAAACTCCATTTACTCATTTTTACTCAAGTTTTTGTGTCTTATTTTAAATATAGATGATCTTAAACCATTGACAAATTGTCTGAATTACTTATTAAGATCAAGCAAAAAATACAGTTATTTCAGTTGACTTACCCATATCTTAATTTTTCCAATGTATGCTTTCAATACAGGGGCCATAACAGGGGCCAGGAACAGTTCTGCAGGGCCACTGGTCCCTTTTGGCCCTCTTTCTAGAATTGCCAATAAAAAATACTAAGGTAGTAATCGTAATTTTGAACAAATATAAGAATAATGCTCTTCAATAAATGTTCCAGTAATGATAATTTAAACTGTATATATTTATTGTCAATATATGTTTATATACTGTTTTTTATATAAAACTTTAAACAGCATGAGTAAATTAAGCCATGGTGTAAACACATATGACAGGTTGATGGTAGAGAGAAAGACAGGTGACAGGCAATAGAACGAAAGGCTTCCATTACTGCCTTCAAACACATCTCTAATCTTTTTTAACAACTTCTCTTCAGGACTCACTTTCTATTTGAACCATTATAAAATGTAGTTCTTTTTACCTCTGTGGAATATATTATTTAACGTCAGTAATAACTTTTAATGTAAATCTGCCAAGTGTCTAACTAATGTGAAGCCTAACTACATGACTATTCCTCTCAATGTTCGTGGATGTTACTATAGGATGGTGTTTTAACAGAAGAGATGGTTTCAGAAGGTCTATCCCATTTTGGAAGAGATGTGACTGGGCAGCAGCAGGTTCCATGCAGCCTATCCCTACCTGTGAGACATCAATTCATTGACATTATTTTTTTCATTTTTGATGTACATGATGTCTTGGAGTAAAGTACTATTTCCCCTTCTCTTCATGCTGCTTTCTATATGTTTATTTTTTATGTGTTTTTTATATCATGCAAGTTTTCATTTGTTTGCCTAACTTTAAATTGATCTTTAATTTATATCAAATTAAAACATATATTATTGGGATCTGTTTTTTTTTTAATGCTACATTCATATTTGCAAATAACTAAGAAAAAATGCTCATGTTTTAGAGGGAAAAATAGTAAAAACAACAATGCTAAAAATAAAATGTGAGGGATAGCAGCTTGGCCCTATTGAAGAAAATGATCCCCATAGCATAATGCTGCCTCCCCCTTGTTTCACCACCTGGGTGAGTGGTCCTCGATCACATACAGCACAATATTAGTTTTTCCAAGCAGAAATATTTTCAGTTTCTTTATTCTTACTTTTTAACCATTAACACAGATTTTTGCAGAGCACAATTAATTGTCATCCTGTCACCAGAATTCTGGCTGTATAAGCATTTAAAGCAAATGTGTTGTGAAATTTGATGTGTGCCAAGATATTAATAATGATCAGTGCTTTGTTTTTATCAAAGGTTGAAATTGTATTTTATAGCCATAACTGTTTTGGAACAGCTCATCATGTTCATTCATTTGTTTTGTGGCCTTTATACAGATCATTACATACAGGTTGACTTATTTTTTCTTTTACCACATTTTCCAGATTGTAAGTTGCAAACAGCCTATAAAAACAATTAAATATTTTCATTCCAATTCGCAATTAGGTTTAAATAGTTTTGATCTATAAAATCCCTAAAGGATGCAAAGATTTTGTTTTTTAATTTAAGCAGAATGAATACTTTTTCAAAGCAGAAACTACCAATAGTTTTCCATCTTTAACTGCAGTTGTTGGTAGGCACCATGCTTGTTAATTTGGAAGTTTATTGTTTAAACCTTGATATTGAATCATTATCCATAAGTGTGTTATTTTCTCCTGTAGAGTCTTGATCTCAGAGACATATCTGTGTTATGCAACTATGTCCATCTTCAAAAGTTAGAGCTGCCACACAACAGCATAAAAGGTAACATCTGTAATGTTTTCATATCCTTCTGTTAAGCAGTACATCGAGTACTCAGTCTACAATCCTGTAACATTTCCTACTGGAACAATTTATTGATGTAATATCTAAATGACTCGCACTAATTTAAAGAAATTCTCTGATAACTTCTAGATATATCCTGTTTGACCTACATGCCCCACCTTGTCATCTTGGATGTGTCTTACAATGAAATCTCCAACTTCTTTGAATTCCAGCCCCTCCGGTACCTGCAGGTACAGGACCTTGAGCTGACAGGATAAGACAACCATTGATTGGTGGCTTGGGCCTCGTTTTCTAGGACTATTCCCTTATGATAGGCCAGGATTACCATAGCCCATCTGTAGTCTCTCAGAATTTAGCTTACAAGGCATTAACTGTCCTTCAGTGGCAGTTGACTTTAGCAAAAATATTCTTCACACGCTGCTCTATCATTTCAGAACTTCCTGAGTATGTTGTACTTTCAGAGTTTTGGTAATGTTTGTTTGAAGTCGGCTGTTTCCTTCTTTCTGCCAGGTGGCCAATTTCTCCCATAACCACATCGGAGACATAAAGGATCTGGCAGGTTTTTTGTGCCTACGTAAGCTGAATCTCGACTGTATCCTTGCCTTCATTTACTTTGATGAATGTGGACCTTTACTGCATGGTTACAGTAGATCTCAGGTTGTTGAATTTCCTTTGCAAACTTTCATTTTAAGCTTTTTCATCAAAGAAAAGACAAATTGAGAGATATAAACAAGGTGGTATACTGTTTACCTGCACTGATAGCCTGCATAAAGATTATATTCTAATTAAAAACAAATAAATTATTTGATAGACTGATAAAAATACATGTATCCTTATGAATCAATATAAACTCATGTTTTATTTGGTATTGAGATAAAAATAAAAGATCTTCGGAGTGATGAAACACATGTGAAACCTGCGTGAAAGTTTGCATTCTGTTACAAATTTACTTTAATTTACTATTTTAGAAAAGAATCTTGAATCTGAAATGCTGGGGAGGAAGCATGATGTTCTGGGGCTGCTTTAGCTTTAATGACCTGGAGTTTTACAGGAAGTGAAATGTGGCTTCTAGCAGCAAATCCTGCAGGAGAATGTCCGAGCATCTTCTGTAGCAATCTAATCACCCAAAGTAAAGCAGCAAGTCGGCCTGTAAATAGATACAAAAATTAACAACTGAAGAAAAGTTGCTGTTGCCTTGCCAATGTCCTGATTTAAATCCAGTTTAGATACAGTGGAATGACCTTTAGCACGCCGTTCGTGTTTGAACACCCCCCCCCCAATTCTGCTAAGTTCTTTGTTTTATTAAAATATTTTGTCTGATTCACATAAATATTAAAGTATGATAATGTAGGAACAACTGGTAAGGGAATAAAAAAATACTCTGTTGCTATTGCTGATTGACATCCTTTCTTAAAGCACAAGCAGTCATTATCTGTCCCTCCCTCTATCGGATTTATCCATAACAAGTTCATGTTTATCCGTAATGTGTTTTTCTTAATAATCATATCCTCAGACAACTGCCTCTCTGAAATCAGTGGTATTGAACAATGTGTAATGCTCACCCATCTCAGTCTGGCTTTCAACAAAATCAAAAAAATCAGCAGCCTGGGCAGGCTGCCTCTCACACATCTCTGCCTGGTAGGGAGTTTATTTGCTGTTTATGTGGCATTAAGAAGCTAAAATACAACTGAGGTTTTAAGAGTTTACATTGTTGTTTAGATTTTAGTTTATAAGGATAATTTCTAATCAAACAGAAATTTTTGCCTGCTGTTGCAAATGTTTCTGAATGCTTACATTATACAATACAATGTTGATGTCTCACCTGGTTCTGTTCTTTGCTGTTCCTCATCTGGACTCTCAGGTTTTTGCCACATTTGTAGATTTAACCACATGGTCCTCTTACATCCAAAGATCTCCTTATGGCCACACAACAGGCTTTTTTTCTGTCTGTTTTTTTGCGTATTTTCTATGTGCCATGTGTTTTCTCATCGTCAGCATCTATTGGTTTGGCTTCATCTGCCCCCTTCTGGAGCTTCCTTTTGGGAGCAGCTGCTGGTCTCTGACTGAACCTGGACCAAAATCAGCCTGCACACCTGCCCTTATCCATCCAGCATACATTTAATCCTGTTCCTGACCCCCTCCTCTTCCCACGCGCCCTCCTAAAACAGCATGGCATTGTCAGCCAGCCTGTTTCCCAGTACATCACAGTGCCGACCAAGAGCTTCCAGGGACCGCTCGGTCAACCCCCCCTGCTGACAGCAACCCTCTGTCTGGCAGGATACTTGGCAAGAGCAGGCCACGGTTTGGCCAGACAGTTAGATAACAACTTTTGTCAGTGGACTGGACAGAGAATCAGGCTGACAAGACTATTGTGCCCAGGTCTTGTGCTTGGGTTGGTTGGCGTGCTGTGCTAGCCCCTCAACAGCTGTTTAGCTGTCAGTCCTTCCTTGTCAGGCTGTTGCAGAGAGCCAGATCTGCCACTCAGCTCAGTAATGAGGGTACAGGCACTGTGTAGAGAATTCCTAATAACTATTGAGAGTTAAAGGATAAAATGATTTGTTGCACATTAATTAATGTCATACATGTTTCTCCTTTTATTAGAGGGGAAACCAGCTCAGGGCTGTTGAAGGATTGGAGAACTTAGATAAGCTGCAGTTTCTTGATTTGTCTATGAATAAAATCAACAGGCTTTCAGGCCTCCAGAACCTCAGCTGTCTGTGCTCCATCAACCTGGAGAAAAACAAGGTACTTTTAGTGACAAAGACACAAAGGCTTTTTGCTTTGCTACTCTTTTCTTTAAGTTAACACAAATGTAAGCTGCTAATATTTGCTGGTTAATAACTTGGGGTATATGCTTATGTACATCCATCATAGGTAGATAAATGGTTGGATATTGTCATGGTAATTTATTCTAATCTATTCTGAATTTATACGTAAATCTGTAATAAAATGTCCAACCTGATGTTATTGCTTTAAGCAACAAGATTTAACTCTACTGCAGCTAAAATAATATAATGAACCTTTCTAAGTTAACACAAATCCATCATGGTAATATTAGCTTGGAGTTTGTTTATGTACATCCAGCCCACAGCCATTTTTACCCTAAAAAACGAGACTGCACTCTGTTAATTCATGTGCTTTCACTGTTTGTGTTGTTTTTACAAGCAAAAGGTATCACCAATGAGCTACATTTATCTTTTTTAATAAGCATAGAAAAAGCGTATTTTTTAGCCAGCTGACCAATAACACAGCTATATGTAAGTCTGCTTTACTTTTTTCAGCTATGCTTTATGCAGCCAGTAAGAGTAGTCCTAGGAATATCCTTTAAAGGATTTTAAAACTAAACCATTAGTGATTTTGAAGAGATAAAAACTAGTTATTGAACTCATTACGAAACATTAAAAAATACTAAATTTGTTTAATTTTAAGCAGCGTAGAAATCCATTAAAAGTTGTTATATGTAACATTTATTTTTTGAGTTTATATAACCAAAAAAGTCTATTTTTTCTTCAGATTTTTAAAATTTCCGATTTAAAACATGTCATTGGTCTACCACTGCTGACGAATATCAACCTGCTGGACAACCCTGTGCAGGTAAATAGGATCACCACCCTTGTTAATTGTTTAATTTATCCAAGTTCCTAGAGATTCACCTTAACCTTGCAGATGAAATGTTATTTATTGATTGATTTTGTTTTTTGTATCTTTCTTTTGTAAATCTGCATAACTTATTAGGAGCAGCCTGACTTCAGACTGAGAGTCATCTCCCTCCAGCAGCAATTGACAATACTAGACCAGGAGCCAGTCAGTGTCAAAGAAAAGGTCTGAGCCTATGTGCATAACTAATGTTAGGTTTTTATGTTAAGTGCTAATGTAGTAAGTAATATGAGTCTTCACCTCTAGGTGTCTTCAGTGAACATGTTTGACCCTCCTATGGATGTATTAGCAGCAGAAGATCACAGGACGCACTTAGTTTATCAGATGGGACAGCCACAGGTCCTCTACTATAGGTTTGTACCAACATTCACTCTAATTCTGCTAGAAGTTTTTTTTATTTATTTTTTATAATCAGTTTATTTAAATGTTACTTTAAAATCAACTGATTACAAATTTTTTGCAAGATAAGATAGCATTTTTATTTAGTTAAAAAGCCAATTTCATTTTATATAACAGACATTTTTTTAAAAGACATACACAGATAGTTGTTTTCATAAATTTAGCACCAAATTGTCCGCAGGTATTGTTTTTTATCTACTTTGCTCTACTTAAAAGAATGAGAAAAATTCATGCTAATAAAAATCTTCAGTGATTTCATTACTGTGTTTTAGAGTTTAACCCTTGTGTCTTGTAACAGGAATCATGTTAAATTATGCATGTTAGATGGAAGTAAATGTAGAACGTGGAGTCTTGTTCGATTTCATTGCAGTAACTCACCTGCTTCAGAGTCCCCTGACCTAATGCTGGTGCTGACGGGCCCTGAAGGATGTGGTAAAGAAGTGCTGGTTCGCAGACTCTGTCAGGAGTTTGGTGAATACTTTGGTGTTGGGTCAGTCTAATACAACTGTATGTATATTTAATGATGTATGAAGTAAATCAGCTTAAATATTCCCTTTATATGGCAATCAATCTAGGAGTGTGGTCTTTAAAACCTAAAATATTAATGCTTTTTGCTTACATAGGTCACATCACCTTAAGTCAAGCTTGAATTCTCCAAAAAAGTTAAGGATACACCTTAGCTTGTGGGTCAATTACTTCCAGGTGTCAATCAACCTAACCTTGATGCAGTGGAATAAAAAAAAATCTGTACCTTCCTGCTGGTCTATGCATGCATGCACCAATCCAAATTTGTGAGTAGTAAAACTATGTAGAATAACTTCTCATAAATACCTTGGTTTTCACTTGGATAACAAACTAGACTAGAGACACAACTGTCTAAAAGAAGGGAGAGCAGACTGTGCTTCCTGAGGAAGCTTAGGTCCTTCAGCGTTTGCAGCAATATTCTACATAACTTCTATAAGTCTGTTGTGGAAAAGGTGATCTCTTCTTCAATCCTCTACTGGCGTAACAGTATTACTGTAGCCCTAATGACTTAAAAAAAACTCAAGCTAATTAAGGCCAGATTTGTTCTAGGAACTCCTCTAGAACCTCAGGAGGTTATTTCACAAAGAACAGTTAGCATCCTCTTCAGAAGATTTTTAAACAACAGAGTGTCTTCAGTAAGAAGCTTCTCAAGATCTGGTGCAAGACAGACCACTACAGAAGATCCTTCCTGCCCTCAGCTTCAACAATTACCACACCTGATTAAAAAACAACATATGAGTTACTGCAACATTTCATTTTTCTTTGGGATTTGGTGCCCTTACACATTTGGCTTTGAAGTATTTTTGAAATGAGTTTAATTTAGCAATAAAATCTGTTTTGCCTAGGAATCATTATCGAGGTTATGTGCAATGGCAGATAACCTCAATGTCAGTGGCAGAAATCAAGCTTGTTATTCCACCTTTAAAAAATAGTGCTTTCCTTCCTTACAGATCTATGTTTTGTTTTTGTTTTTTTGTTGATTTCTTTTATGCTTAAATGTTTTAGATGGCTAAACAAATATGCTATTTAGATTTTAGGCTAAAATAACCCAGGAAGTTCGAAAAAGGACGATTTTATTCTTAAATTGAAAACAATATCCAGACCAACCAGACTCAATAGGGAAATACTGATGCTCCCTTTGTTAAATAATAAATCAACTGTTTAAGCACATTTTTTTGGCTAAGTTTTAAGAGGACCTGACAGACCTGTGAAATTAATTACCTTTTAAAATAAGACCTGCCAAACTAAAGTAGCTTAAATATCTTATCAAGCAACATCAAACCCAAAAAACAGATTGGAAAGAAAATTAATAGAGTTCTCTCAGTTAAAGAGGGTCATATAAGCATATTTGGAACAACTTCTAACAGAGGCATTATGAGGCATCTTAGAAAATACCATCATATTAATAAACATGGTAGTAGTATTAAGGTAGCAGCTGAATCTGATGCACGAGGAAATCCAGAAATAGAATGTCCAGCCATCCATGTCTTTCTCTGATATGAAAATGTGTATGTGAGCTGAAACATGTTAATGTGACAGAAAAGGAAAAACCAGAAGAAGGGTCTGGGGGAAATATGCTTTCACATCACTGTATTGATAGAATTCAAGTAGCTTACTTGAGAATGAACTTGATATTTCACAGAATCTGTCACACTACACGGAAACCCTACATTGGAGAGGAGAATGGGATTGACTACCATTTTGTCAGTGAAGAGGACTTTCAGAGCTTGGTTCATATGGTGAGTCGATCAGAAATTTTCTCCTGTTCTTGTGACAAACTCAATTTCAAGATTTTTACACTTTTTGACTTCATACATGTACATTGAAAGTGTCATATATCACAAATATATATTCGTTCTTTCCTGCCTGGATTCAATCAAAATACTAGTGATGTTATGTGATGAGCCGACGCTTCAAGCTGCGTGTGTTGAGTATAGTGGAGGGAGCGTTTCCACAAAGCATGTATCGAGGAGCCAAAATCAATGACTTCCAAAGCTTTGCTACCATCAACCGGCATTTAAACAATATGATTTAAACAGCCCCAGTGTTCAGTCAAGATGTGGGAGTTTATAGATGAGTTGCAGTCAGCTGGATAGAGTTTGGATATATTCTAAGAATAGATTGGTTGGAAAAACAATCAATCTGGTTAATTTTGGTTAAATTAAACTATATAAAGATGAAGACTAAACAATATAACTGGCCAATCCATTGGTTTCTTTTGTATTATTAGTATTCAGTAGTTTTACTTTCAGTAATTATACAGGCATCTGCTGTATAAGTTTGCCTTACTGTCCAAGGTTTAGTGGTTCAAGACCTGATTTTGTCTTTTGAAAGCAAAATACAAAATACAACCAGTATTTTGGTCAAAGTGACCAATTTCTATCGGTTTGCTCTTTTACAGATATTGATTGGGTAAAAACACTACTAAATTGGATTGGTTGTTTTAACCAAAATATTTGTGGGGAAACATAACTTCCAACCAGATCAAAACCAAAAACTTAGGAAAAACTATTATCTTTTTTAATAAAAATGAGTAACAACTTTAATTTTGCTCATCATTGCCCAAGCTGTAAAAGCACTTTCACTGTCCGCTTGAGCTTATGCCACTAAAATGACAGAAAAACAGTGTACTTTAATAAATTGTTCTTTTCTAAGAAATTTTACACACAAAAAATGTACAAAATATTTTATTATACACACCAATCATGTACAATTTCAAAGGAACCTAATAAAAAAAAAACAAACAAACAAGGAAAACAATTGCAAACATCACAGATTATGTTGCTAACTATAGTTATGCAGTCTGCCAGTAGGCGGTGACATGTTCACATGAAGCTTCATGAAATGTGGAGTTCGTTGAAGCAATTTCCCAAAACGGTTCAATTCCACATGAGGCTTCATTCCACAATCATCACAAAATACACATTTAGGTTTTTTATTTAACTGTATTTTTATGTACTTTATTAAACTCACATAATTCACTTTTTCAAATGAGCTGTGAGGTCAGCTTGTATTGCCTGACATGTGGCAGTGGTTTACCATCGCTCCATCTGTAACTTTTCTCCACACATAATCTGGATTTACAGCTGGTGGAAGAGGCCAATTGTGTCCTTGGATCATGGACACATTTGTTTTCTATCTACACTCTCTTGTCAAGTCAGCTGTTATGTAAGGTCGATGGAGGATAATTTATAGATCACTGGGTGTCAGTGATTTACGCAGGAATGGCTTTGAAGCAGGTATTGATGCCTTTTGTCTACTTCAGCACCGGAAAACTTAACAATCTACCCCTCCCCTGTTTGATTCCCTCCTTTACTTTTATTCCTCCATTCTTGTCTTGCCAGCCTTTTGGATCAGTGCTGTCATGTTTGAAATTTCTTAATCTTCAGATTCTTTCTTTTTCTCATTTTTATGGAGCAAACATGGATGATGTTCTGGTCTGATGGTTTTACCACATGCAAAACACTGTTTAGTTTTTTTTATATTTAATCTGAAATTAGAGTTCACCTAATAGAAACAATTTGTCCAGTTTGTACCACTACCATTTAATTTATTTGAAGTAGAAGCATGGGTATATCCAAACATTGATAAAATACCTGTATATACCTGTATAAACTCTTTCATTTCTTAAACTTGAATTGTGTCTGAGCTCAGCTGCTTGGCTGAGTTTCTCTCCTAGATTAAGCCACTAATGTAAGTAATACTTCCATCCTTTTTTATTTCTCTTTTCTTGCAAAGCCCTCCTGGATCAGTGCTTTTGTGTTATTTTTGCCTCTATGCTCTTCTCTTTAACTAGTTTGCCAGTGCTGGCAGATTTTTACCAATTTTAAAGACTAGACTAAACTTGTCTGCGTTGTTTAATAACGTAGATCAAGAAAATGTGTGTTATTTATTGGGAGTATGGGTGTGTGACTGGATTAGATTGTCTGTTCTTTGTTAAGTGCCTTGAGATGCCATGTGTTGTAAATTGCTCCTATGATTAGAAAAAGGAGTTAAAAAGAGGTCTCTTTAGAGCAGTTTGTAAGATGCCAAAAAAAAGTTTCCATAACCCCCAAAAAATGTAATCGAGAGACCCACACAGCAAAAAATAAATGATTTTTTATGTTAACACTTAATTAAATTGTTTTCTTTTCCAGACATTAGAAAAAAACTTTAGTCATAGTCACAAAACTTAATATTTATCTTATCATATTTATATTTAAGTAAAGTAGTTAAATGGTCTTTCTCTTCACTCAACCAAACTGACATCTTGTGGCTTTAATAAAAAGGCTAAAATGACCTTCCTAAGCTCACAGTTGTTTGATGCTTCCTGAAGGTGAGGAATTCTGCAGCCCTACTAAAAAAGCCACCATAAAAGTCAAAAGGTTACTACCTAAGAGACAAAACAAAGAGGTTTTTGCCCCTACTACCAGGTCAAAAGTTCATTTTCCAGGTGGGCAAATAGCTTCAGGTTGTTAAGCCTGACCTAACATGCTGGGGATGTCTGTATTTATGTTTACTCTTTTATGCTAGATTTTTTCCCGTATGATAAAACTTAAGTTATATGAAAGTGTTTATGTACTTAAAATTAGGGCTGTGCATTCATCCAAATTTTAAGAATTGAATCGATTCCTATTCTTAAGTTTTAGAATCCATTCAATCTTATCCGGTGTGATCTTAAATTTGATTCCTTGTGTTAAAAATCTTTTTTCAGCCGTTATCTGAATCATATGAATGTGTAGTTATGCATTATATTTATACTAGTATTATATTAAAGGCATAGTGGAGAATATTCTTTTTCCAGGTGGATCATCAAAATAAGTGGTCCTCCTAATTGTGAATCATTCTGATGATATGTGCTCTTCCCCATTTTCACTTACTTGTGGTGAAAAATTTGCAAATCTTCTTTTGAAAGTAAGATTGTATCAGAAGCAAACTTTCAAACAGAGCGTGCACAAGGAGAAATGGGCTTGTGCACGCTCTTTGAACGTGTTTAAATGGCCATTACCTCTCGGGAGCGGGTGCAGGGTTGTGCATGTGTATTTTTCTTAAAAATGGTAAGGGTGGGCCTTTAACATTCAGTCGAGAATGAATGAAGTCACTGGCGGATCAAAGGACAGTGGAAAATCCATTTTCTGAAAATCTGTCTTAAAGAATTAAAGGAATAGTACACCCAAAACATGATTAGCCTTCATTTTCTACTCACCCCCATGCTGAACAACACTCTGGAGTACTTTTTTGATATCTCAAATGCATCTGGAGATCTGGGAGGCTTCTTGCTGTCTGCTGACATTCAAATAATGGAGGTCTATGGCGCCCGAGACAGAAAGGTCCATAAAAGTCCACAAAAAACGTTTCAATATTCCTCCATACTGCTCGTCCAATGTATTCCAAGTGTCCTGATTGGGTAGCATCCAGAATTTACTCGAAACGAAGTCATTTAGAATGTTTTTAGAGCATAAACAGTAGTGTATAGGATTTCCTGAAAGCGCGTTCACGACGCTACGGAAACCGCGGCAGACCAAACCGGATGAAAGTGCGCATTCAGCTCGGGAAAGAACTCATGCTCTTCCTCAACACTGAAGTCCTCAGACATTTTTCTTTCGTTGTTTCTTTCTTTGCACAGGTAAACAGCACATTTCTTCTTCTACGCTTGCATTATCGGCAGAGCAGACGCTGAATGCGCACTTTCATCTGGTTTGGTCTGCCGGCTTCCGTAGCGTCGTGAACGCGCAGGTGCGCGCTTTCAGGAAATCCTATACACTACTGTTTATGCTCTAAAAACATTCTAAATGACTTCGTTTCGAGTAAATTCTGGACGCTACCCACTCAGGACACTTGGAATACATTGGACGAGCAGTATGGAGGAATATTGACATGTTTTTTGTGGACTTTTATGGAACTTTCTGTCTCGGGCACCATAGACCTCCATGATTTGAATGTCAGCAGACAGCAAGAAGCCTCCCAGATCTCCAGATGCATTTGAGATATCAAAAAAGTACTCCAGAGTGTTGTTCAGCATGGGGGTGAGTAGAAAATGAAGGCTAATCATGTTTTGGGTGTACTATTCCTTTAATATGAAAAATGAATATGAAATTGATACAGAATTGGAAAACATATATTTTTAATACAGCTATACTTAAAATTGTCTTTTTTCTTCCTCTCTGCTTTCTTACACAAGGGTAAGTTTATCCAAACTATGCAGTATAACGGTCATATGTTTGGCCTCACAAGAGAAGCTATTGAGGAAGTAGTGGAAGATGGACTGGTTTGCTGTGTACACATGGAGCTGGAGGTACCTGTGTGAAACTTATATATAAAGCTAAAATTATGTTTTATGTATTCTGCATTTACTAATAAAAGAGTAACTCAAAATTGTAAGAGACTCATTTTTTTTCAGGGTGTTTTAAGTCTAAAGAAGACCTACTTTGAACCTCGATACATCCTGCTCATACCCACCCAGATGGAGAAATTCATAAGCCACTTGAAAAGCCTCAAACTCCACCCCCCTGCACAGATTGATTTTGCATTAAAACGTGTGGCTCTGTACATAAACACCAGCGAACAACGTCCAGGATTCTTCAATAACATCATCCCATGTGGTAAAAAAGACATTTTGTGATTGAAGTTTTAATATCATAAATTATTATCATTGCATTTTATTTGTTCCCTGTTTTCCTTTTATTGTAAACAAAGCATATTTTCATAATCTTTAATATCTTTTCAATCCACATTTAACTGCAGGATCAGTGTCTTTCCTCTTGATAGCACTTTGACTATTAGCTGTTTTCTTAATGAGATGAACAAACAGCAAGCAGGAAACATTCATCACTTTTATGCACTGCTTGCAAGCTCCTCATTACACCAAGGTCAAAATCTCCATATCTTTGATTCATTGCTCTTTGAGGTTGGATACGCTGGCTGTGTTGAGGACCAGGCTTCCTCATGTGTGTTTATTTATGTCTGTATTTATTAAGATGATTGGGAAGAAGCTTATCAGACCTTGCAGCAAGTGGTGAAGGACTACCTGTTAGCTGAAAAGGAAGAGGAGGAAGAAAAGACCAACAGTGGATTCTTCTCTGTCAGCAGCAGTACAGGTGTTACTTCTTTTAGTTTTTCACATCTCATTCATTTATGAACAATTTTTGTAATATTGTCTCTCATAATATCTAGAGTTTGATATCATAGGTCAATTGCAATAAACAGGTACAATACTGACACTGCTTTTTTAATTTAAATCTGTTATTTTTAACATGACAGCTGTCAAATAAAGTCTTTAGTAGAAATACTACACTTAACCCCACAATGTTTTAAGAATGGTTAGAAGGAACCTATTTTTGTCTGCTGTGTCCACAAACTACCACTAACTGCCTGCTGCAGATCCCTGTTCAGTAAGAACTGACATCAGGTTTAAATTGGATTTTTTTTTTTTTTTTCACCACGCAAAGTTTCAGTAAATTGTTTCATGAAAGGGAAGGGTAAATTTATGTCAACGCATTGTTGTATTTTGTTTTTAAAAGTGTGGTCTGTACAAGGACAAAAAAGATGCAGAAACAAGATCAAAAAGAAGGAAAATAGATTCGCAAAAAGGAATCCAATTCTTTTTAACATAACATCTAAGAAACTATTTTTATTAATCCATCCATCCATTTTCTAGCACGCTTATCCCAAGTAGGGTTGCGAGGGTTGCTGGTGCCTATCTCCAGCAGTCAATGGGCGAGAGGCGGGGTACACCCTGGATAGGCCGCCAGTCCATCTCAGTCTTATATAATATGACTTATATAGAAATATATTATATTAAGAAAAAAAAGTCAGAGGATCAGAGCTGAAGTGTCTTGGCTGACAGAGCCATAAAATGCCTTTTTTTTCCTTTTGCAACAACCTACTTGTGTAAATCTGGCTTTTCATCTCCCTCTAGTATCCGTTTTAACCCTCCATGGTCTACAGGTGGTTAATGACATATGTATGGTACTGACAGACATTAAGCTCAGCCCTACGGCAGACACCTGAACGAGGTTTGCTTGACTCTGTTCTGTTCTTTTTTAAAAGCTTGTTATTAAATCCAAATATACTGTAGTACAGTTTTGGAAAAATGCTAATATTCATATACTAAAGTAATGTTAAATTCCCCGAATAGATACAAAAGCAAGAAAAACATTCTTAAAGTAGATATTTTTGTACTATTTTTTGTTAGTTTGCAAAGGAGGTCCCCGGCCAGAAGCCAATGCTTGTTGGGGGTCCATAAAGATTTGAGAACTCCTGTCTTTAAGGTTTAGTGGAGGATGTTCTTTTTCGGGTGGATCATCTAAATAAGTGGTCCTCCCATTTAATCATTATAGTGATATGTTTATGTGAGGCCATCCTACGTGTTCATCCCCATTTTTACTTACCGGTGGTGAGTCTCACATAGTGGAAAAATTGCAAATCTTCTTTTGGAAAGTAAGCTTGTATGAGCGATGTAAGCAGCAACTTGTAAACACAGCATGCTCAAGGAGAGATGGGCTCGTGCATGCTCTTGCTTGTGTTTAACAGACGATCCCTCTCGGGAGGGGGTACAGGGTTGTGCATGTGCATTTTTTTTTTCAAGAGAGAGCGGGACTTTTCATAAATGTGTGAAAATCCTCCACTACATCTTTAACAAGTCCCCACAGAGACAGATTTTTGCACAAACACAGATTAGAAAAAACTTCCAAAAGACGGTTGTTTACACCAAGGGTTAAAAAAACAAAACAAAATTGCTGACTGCTAATTTCTCCAAAAAGTTAACTCCTCAATATGTTCATCATTCTCACCAAGTGCCTTAGATTAGTATCACAATTTTTGGGAGTTTTATTATTCAGTATTTGGTATAAATGGCATGAATGTGAAACTTTTGCTCTAATAATATGTTTCAGGTCATTTTTTAGCAGAGGATCCACCATCACCTTATGCATCGGAGACACTCCTTGGATCAGCCCTCGACCCCTCACCCTCCCTCTTCACGCCCAGCTTCACAAATATCCAGGCAGAGCTCAGCCCCGAAAAAACATTTATTGTGAGTTATTAGATGTTTGTGAAAACATTATATGACAGTAAAGTCTGTGAATGAAATTAAAAGGACATCAATCAAATGTTTAAAGAAGAAATCCTCAGCTGGCCTCAAAAGAGGTGTTTCCTTTTCTCCTCTTTGCAGGAGCTGGCCTCCATGAGGAGGCGAGAGCAGCTGGCTAGGGAAGCAGTTGCTGGAAAGAGACCAGGGTTGTACAGCCAGCTCTTCAAAGGGTACGGGTAAGTGGCAGCCACTCCACTTCACTCCAGGGCCTAATTTAAAGTCGCCATTCACTGTTGGGCCAATTTGGTGTAATCGCAACACTTGTCCTACAATCACTGCATTTTAATGATTCAGAATGATTTTGACATTGAGGGTGAAGTACCAGGTGTCTGAATTATTTAAAACAAACTGTTTGTTAATGTGACAGGGAATTTTTGCATTGTTCCAGCCTGGGTATGTCTGGGTCCAGGCATACACCCCCACCAGTAGCTACCAAACATGACCAGATTGATTAAAGAAAAAACAAAAAAACTGTTTTGCATGCTAGTTTGTCTGACATTTGTAGACTAAGTTTGTTAGTCCTGTTGTGTTATTTAGCAAAGGTTGATACTAAAAACATTATCACTGCAACGTTATTAGGATGCTGGTGTGATCTTTCAAGAGGATAGCAGGTAAAGGAACAAAAAAGAGTTAAAAATAAAAAAGAATTTCAAATGCTTACTGATTGTCCGATCCATGTTAATGTGTTGAAATAAATATCTTTATTCCATTGTTCCCAAACCTTTTGTCACATGCTACTAAAATGAATCCAAGTAGCCACAGGAAAAACAAAAAAAGTCACAATAAAAAACAAATAGCTTAGCAATTTTTTTTTGCAGGAAACAGATGTGTATATTTACTGACTTATTCAAGACTGAAACAATTAATCGTTTTAATCAATTATTGAAATAATCATCAACTTTTACTAATCAATAAATTGTTAAATGGAGTATAGAGACTGTAAAACATGCCTTTAGCCGATAGAGCAACCGACTTACAGCAGTAATTATACCAACATTATAAAGAATATATAAATATTTTGCATTTAAGATAAAAAAAAAACTTTTCATCTGTCTCAATGATCTATTAGAACTCCTCAAGATGAAACTTTTTAGTTTCACCTGGTTGAATTACATATAAAAAATTCTGTGAGGACTTTGGCTATCCGATAATTAATCGAAAAAATTGTTGACAGATTAATCAATTTGCAAAATAACCATTTGTTGCAGCCCTAGACTTATTTCACTGAGAGGTTTCTGAGCATTTGCCTTTTTCAGAAGAAAGGGAGAGAGTTTGCAATCATTTTGGCCTGACCTGACAGAAAAAAAAAAAAAAAAAAAGATTATATTCTGACAGATCAAAGCATGATTTGGATCGATGGTGGTTGCTGTATATAGCAAAGTTTCTTTAAACTATCAATAGAAAATTTGCACCAGTCAGTTTTTAAGTAAAAATCACTGGAACAGTTAAGTTCTATTTAATGTAGAGCTGAAATGAATGGAAAAGGTTTGGTCACATTGAAATTTACGTTGCACCTAACAGTTCCATTTGTACGATTATTTTATTTTGTATAAAATTTTGCCTCCTTAGAAACTGAAATAATCTCAATCTGCATCCATGCTTGAGGCCAAATGTGTATCATTCTTTAAAAGGGGTCTGGGGTCACACAAAATCCAACCAAGGACTGCAAATTCCCCCAGGCCGCACTTTGGACACCGGTGTTACTCTGTGAGAAAAAGCAAATTAAGTCAAATAGTTAAACTTTGGACATTTCCTATAAATGTATAAAATCAGCTGTATTCAGTTCCTACTTCTGTTTGCAGAGGAGACTCTCTGCCTCTGAACCCAGAGCTGTAGAAGTTTTTTGTTATTTTTTTTTTATAGATTGTTGAGTTCTATGAGCCATGTGAGGACAAATGTCTGCACATTTGCTATAAATGCTCAGTTTGACACTTTTACAAACCTACCCACCCATAAATTCAGATTTTATTGCTTCTGCCGGTCATAATATTCCTGTGTGCATTGTTATACTCTAGTAAAGATTCATTTTCTCTAATGTTTAATTGTTAAATTGTTGTTAATTGAAAATGAAATACTGAAAACAATCTCTTCTTTTCATGTTGAATCTCACCTTACGAGTTTCTTGCATCTTATTTTACTTGTAGCCCTGATGCGTTTAGTGCCAGCTCCGTTCCAGCAGGTCCCAGGTCAGCCGTTGGCATGGTTAAACCGCTACATAATTCCATACTGGTACAAACAACAGAACTGCTCAAGGGTTGGTATGGCTTATTATGCTAGGATATTTGCATGTGTATATTAAATAGAAAAATTACACCCATTTCACAGAATACTGGAATCAAGAATATAGCTTTTGTATCAATAATTGTTCTTAATTAAATCCCTCATTCTTATGGTAAAACTGCTGCTGCCCAAAGCTGAACTATACCTATTGTTTTGCAATAAACTTTATTTAAAGGTTTTTATTTAAACAAAAAAGCCTGATTCAACCACAGTAAAGTGTAACGCTTATTTAAGGCTAGGCGCCTGACTGCAGCCAGTTATAATAGGCACTCAGATAGGTTCGCCTATGGAGCCCGTGGGTGTGAACAAAATACCATTAGACAAAAGTATGCTTAAATTATTGTATTCAAGTTTGAGTTTTTTTTCATATATATAGGAAGATATGCAATATTAATAATATTTATAATAACAGTGATTTTCTATAATATAACCAAAAACACGACAAGGGGGGGAAAAAAAAAAAAGGACAAACAACTCAGCAACAAAAACAATAAACCCTTATGTCACCCAAGAGTTTCCTTTTTAGTCCATTCATGAATCTAGAGCGATTCAACGGTTCATCAATCAATGTCTGATTGTTGTAGGGTTTTTCTTGTCCATAACCCAAAGCAAATAAGTTCAGAATGAGAAAGTAACTTGGTTCATGTAAATCCTACCGCGAAGCTGCGGTGATCCGGTAGCTCGCCATCCTGACGTGACACAGGGGGTGAAAAAAACCTGACCGTCGAGCGGTCGACAGAAAACACTCAGTTAAATCCTTCGGCCGTCTTAGTAAGCCTTGATCCAGCCGTATTCTTCTATTAGTTTAGAAGACGCCGAGACGAGCAGCTAGCCACAGCGACAGCAGCAACAGCTATTCAGATCTGAGTCACCTGTGACCCGGAACTTAAAGGGTGCTATCAATTTGACCCGCCAAAATAAAATACGGGTTCTTATTTTATGCAGGTTACACCCTCCCCTCCTGATCCCATGTACGTCCTCGTACATGCACCAGGCTGGCAGCAAATGGGAGGCTGATTGGAGTACGGAGCAATGAACTGTTCTTCTTCATCTTCTTGAAGGGCGAAGGAGAAAGCAGAGCTCAAACCGTGAAGCAAAGCCTGAATGCTTTTCAGTAATGGTTTGCCAGGTTTAGTGTACTGTAATCGATCAGGTGGATTTCTTGTGCGGCTAGAACGTCTCAGAGGTTGGTCTTCACTGTCCAGAGATACTGAATCCACTGGTGAGTGAGGTTCTTCAGTATGGCTGGGAATGTCAAATATATCAGTTTCTTGTGTGTCATGTTCTGCATTGTCAGACTCTGGAGTATCAGGATCTGGAGAGAGTCTTCCTTCAACTCTGGAGGCGTTAGCAGGATTGACTTGTCCAGCATCAATTTCAGGTTCCTCACTGTCTACTGTTAGTTGTTCCTCTTTAACAGTCATAGGTTCCCCTTCCACAAATTTGGGTTCATCATCCTCAGCATCACTGTCCTCTTCAGTTACAGGCACTGGAGATTGTGTGATGGGAACAAACTGTTCAGTTCCTGGGACAGACTGCTCGACAGGAGGCAGGTCAATATCAATCGTAAATCTGACAGGTTCAAAAGATGATGGAATGTGCAAAGGTGGATCGACTAGTTCTTCCTCTGATGGACCCTCTTCATCATCAGGAGATACTGGAGAAAACACAGGAGATTTCCTTTTAGCTCTGGTAGGCATTTCTTCCTCAGGAAAAGGTAAGTATCCACATGGCAATAAAAGGTCTCGATGCAGGGTTCTTAGTGGTTTGTTCTGGCCTTCCGGTCTGACTGTGTACACAGGAAGATTGCCGGCTTTCTTCACAACAATATACACAGATGACTCCCACTTATCTGCGAGTTTGTGCTTTCCCCTTAGTCGCACGTTCCTTACTAGGACTCTGTCTCCAACATTAAGTTCTGATGCAGTAACTTTCTGGTCAAATCGGGTTTTGTTACGCTGCATCACTTTAGCTGAGTTCTTACTGGCCAGTTTGTAGCTTTCCTCCAGGTGGGACTTTAACTTTTGCACATACTGCGTATGGGAGCAAAATCCATCCTCATTTAATGGCAGTCCAAAAGCTAAATCCACCGGTAGGCGGGGTTGGCGTCCGAACATCAGCTCGTAGGGTGAGTATCCCGTGACATCGTTCTTTGTGCAGTTGTAAGCATGCACTAGTGGTTTTACAAAATCCGTCCAATTAGTTTTTTCTTTTTCAGATAATGTTCCCAGCATGTCCAGAAGCGTTCTGTTAAAACGTTCCACAGGATTTCCTCTTGGATGATATGGTGTGGTCCTTATTTTGTGAATGTTGGCCATTTTACAGAGTTCTCGGATGGTTCTTGATTCAAAATCTGGACCCTGATCACTGTGCAGCTTTTCTGGAATGCCGTAATGCATGAGGAAATTATCCCACAAACACTTAGCAACGGTCTTAGCTTTTTGGTTTGGAGTAGGCACAGCAATGGCATACTTTGTAAAGTGGTCTGTTATAACAAGGATGTCTTTGATTCTGCGATCCGGTTCTACAGAGAGGAAATCCATACACATCAACTCCAAGGGGTGAGTGGTTTTGATGTTGACCAAAGGTGCAGCTCGTTCTGGTAAAGATTTGCGTCTCACACATCTTTCACAGGTTCTGATTTTATTGACAACATCAATAAACATCCTAGGCCAGTAGAAACGGGAACGGACTAAGTCTATAGTTCTGTCAATTCCCATATGACCCATTTGGTTATGCAGTTGGTGCAGCACAACAGCTCGATATCCCTCAGGTAATACTAGTTGGTACTTTGTTTCACTTCCCACTTGTCTCCTCCTAACGAGAAGGTTGTTTTGGAGCTCCATTTTATTTACTTCTCGGAGTAGAAGGGGCAGTTCAGGAAGTTCTTCCTTCACCGATGGTGATGGTGATTCTCCTCGTTCCAGCTGAGCTATGACATGGCGGATAACAGGGTCGTCACGCTGCTTAGCTGCAATGTCATCTGCTGAGAATAGAGGAAGTGAAGGGGAGCTGAACTGTTCATCATCAGTAAAGCTGTCAGGTAGGCTGTTGACATGAGTGGTCATAGACAACACCAGAGCGTGGTCAAGATGTGCACCTGGGCTATACACCAGGTGACGGGCACAAACTGCTTCGATGGTGTGCTGATCAATGGAAACATAATCTGGTTCGTTGAGGTGATGCTGAACGAACTTCAGGACTCGTTCATGTTCCTTCCGGGAGGTAGGATCATCAGACAGCTCACCATGAGGTCGTCGAGACAATCCATCAGCATCCATGTTCTGCTTTCCGGCTCTGTAGATGATCTTGAATGTGAATGTTGACAAAGCTGAAAGCCATCTGTAACCGGTCGCATCAAGTTTTGCTGAGGATAACAGGTAAGTCAGTGGATTGCTGTCTGTGACAACTGTGAACTGAGCACCGTAGAGATAATCATTAAATTTCTCTGTCACTGCCCATTTCAGAGCGAGAAACTCCAATTTATGAGCAGGGTACTTGGATTCACTCCGCGAGAGACCTCTGCTGGCATATGCCACAACTCTGTTCTTTTCGCCCTGCTCCTGATACAACACCGCACCAAGACCGGTAGAACTGGCATCGGTGTGGAGTATGTAGGGTTTTTGTGGATCAGCAAATGCCAATACAGGGGCAGAGACTAATCTTTCGATTATGGTTTCAAAAGCCTTCTCACACACTGGAGTCCATCGTCCTCCAAATGGTGCCTTGGGGTTCAGGTAATTCTCTGGCTTTACCGTTGGCTTCAGTCTCTTCTGAGATGGCGGATAACCAGCAGTCAGGTCATGCAATGGCTTAACTATGGCTGAATATCCTTGGACGAAACGGCGGTAATATCCAGAGAAACCGAGAAAAGACCTTAGCTCTTTTAGGTTTTTGGGCACTGGCCAGGAGGTAAGTGTTTTGATCTTATCTGGATCTGTCTCAACACCATTCTGGGACACAACATGCCCCAGATACTTCACAGATGTTTGGAAAAACACACACTTCTCAACTGACAGCTTCAACCCAAAATCCTTAAGTTTGTTGAGAACTTTCATCAGGCGCTCTTCATGTTCTTCCAAGGTAGGTGCAAAAACGATTAAATCATCGATGAAAACCAAAACTTCTTTTAAATTTAAGTCTCCCATGCATTTTTCCATCAACCTTTGGAATGTACTTGGGGCATTGGTGACCCCTTGCGGCATGCGGTTGAATTCCCAAAACCCCAATGGACATACAAAGGCAGTTTTGGATTTATCCTTTTCCTCCATTTCAATCTGGTAATAGCCCGACTTAAGGTCTAACACAGTGAACCACTTTGATCCAGAAAGGGCAGAAAATGTATCTTCAAGCTTGGGTAGAGCATAGGCGTCCTTTATTGTTTGAAGATTTAGCTTCCTGTAGTCAATACAGAGGCGTACACTGCCGTTCTTCTTGCGTACAACCACAATTGGAGAAGCAAATGGTGAATCAGACTCGCGTATTACTCCGGAATCAGAAAGCTCTTGCAAATGCTTTCTTACAGCATCAATATCCTGAGGGTGGATTGGTCTTGGCCTTTGTTTGAAAGGAGTGGGATCAGACAACTTGATTTGATGTTTAACTTTGTCTTTCCGGCCGAAGTCCAGCTCGTGCTTTGCAAACACCTCAGGAATACTATTGAGTTTCTGGATGATTCGCTGCTTCCATTCTGGAGATAAAGGTGAGTCTCCAAAGTTGTATTGTGGTTGAGATGGTTGTAGGGACTCTGTAGACTGGGTTGAATTGTGGACTGTTTGCTCTTGTGAGATCACACTCTGGAAAGTGCTGATTTCTGCTATGACTGCTCGTGCTGGAATATGAATCTCATGGTTCGACTCATTGCTCACAACGACTGGCACATGACACGGCCGGTGTTGAGGCAAGTCAATGAGGCAGGTTTTTACCATGAGCCCACCAGGGAGGGCATAGGAACTCGGATGTTCCAGGAGGACTTGTTTTTCTCCTTGCCACAATCTTGAAGCTAAGCACCCTTCTACAACTGTGGTCTGCCCAGCAGTAATGATTAGGGGCTGACTAGACTGCAGGGTGACAGTTGCAGTAAGTTCATTCGAACTCTGGGCATAGCGGTGTTGGAGGATCTTATACACCGCTATATAACCAGAGACTGTAGGTTGAAATGACTCGTCAGGGTGAGTGTCAAAATGTTTGCTGTAAGCAACATCTAAGGTATTTGTGCCAATGAGAACCAGATGTTGAGATGGCTTATTATCAGGCACAACAAGAGCAAGTGTGTCAACTTCAACAGGTAAACCAAACAATTCAGGTGGGAAGGTCATGTTGATCTCTACATATCCCAGGTAAGGCACTGTTTGTCCATTTGCTCCTTCTATTTCCAACAGGTTGTTTATTGGTTTGATTTCATGGTCCCTGAGGTAAGTATTGTAGAAGGAGTAGGGGATAGTAGTAACCTGTGAGACAGAATCAAGGAGGCAGTTAAGCTGATCTCCTTTTATCTGAACTTGGCATATGCTCTTTGTGCCAATAAGACCTTGTGGCAGTGTTCTTATCCTGCGTTCTTTGGGACTGTTCATATACACAGCTTCTGTGTGTCCCACTACAGGAGCTGTTTCTAGTTTAAAGATTTTGAAATTTTGGCATCCCATGCTTGTTGCTTCTGGCGTAACAGTTTCTTTTTCTGCTCAACCAGACTGGGGTTTGCTTTATTTGTGCAGGAGGAGGAAAGAAGGCTGTCTTCTCCACAATTAAAACAGTACCAAGGCTTGGGCTTGGTTCGTACCTGAGGTGAAGAGTAGGACTTGTTCTGTCTTGACATGGACTTGAATTCAGCTGGACTCTTCCTGGACAGAAGTTGGGACATTTGCTGCTGTAGTTTCTGAAGCTGTTTTTTCATTTCTTTCAGCTCTTCATTGGATGTAGAATGTCCACAAGAACAGGCACTTTGGGACTGGATGTTAACTTTCTGTTTGGACGTTCCAATGTGTTTTTTCATAAGTGATTCTTTAGCATGTTGCCTATCTTCTTCTGTCCTGAGTAACAACAATAAATCAGAAAAAGATGGTGGGTTGTCTTTCTTTTGTTCCAGCTGTAACTTTGTGATGACAGTGTTATCCCAACACCCACGACAAAACTGTTTGAGTAAATGTTTATTAATGTCAGCAGGTGAAACTCCTCCTTGCTTCACAACAGTGTTGAGAGTGAGCAGAAGTCTTTGAAGGTAAGTGGACGGTCGTTCCCCTGGATTCTGCAGAATGTTTAAGTACTGTGCAAACAATTCTTCACCGTCCTGCACTGTTCCAAAGGCAGAATCTAGTATGTTTAGCAAAACTGTTGGTACTGTGTTGGGGCTCAAACCTTTGACCAAATCAGCTGCAGGTGATGACAAGCTCTCTGTGATTCGTCTAGTGATATGTAGCGCAGAGAGACTGGGATCAGCAAGCAGAGACTCAATCTGGGAATGCCAGGACTCAAAATCAGCTTCATTACTCGGTTTAGGAAACCTTCCTGAAAAAGTACGGAGACGAAGTGAGGTTGGACCAGTCAAATCAGTATTTTGAACCACATGTTCAACAACAACCCGTTGTATCTGAGGTGGGTTAAGATCATTGGTAGAAAGCGACAGTCCTGGAGCTGGTCCAGTTTGCTTTCGACGAGGTCGTGCTCCCTGGCCCGAGGATAAATGAGCAGGAGGAAGTGAGGATAATGATCCTAAGTCCATTTGCACTGGCTGTGCAGTAGTAAATTTATCCACTTCCCTTTCCTCTTTCACCTTTACTCCGTCCTCTTCCTCATCATTGTCATAGTCATCATCATCATCATCATCAAAATTTTCATCTGCTCCTGCTGCATGCAGATGTTGGCCTATCTGGCTCATTACTGTCTTCAGAACATCTTCAAAACGATGGCCGCTTTGATCAGCAATTTTCCTGAGCTCAGCGATGTAGTTGGGCTGATGTTTGCTGCTGCTGCCCTCTGTGGCTGCATACTCGAATGCCAAAGCGGTGACACAAAACACTCGGTCAGTATTTGTTTGAGAGGTGTAAGTATAAGGTAGAAGCGGTTGTAGTGCGGAAAAAGCAGCTAAATCTGCAAACTCAACGATCAGGTTTTTAAAAAACGTGCTTGAGGAATCAGTTACATATAAAGTGCGGTTAAGTTTACCGTATCTAATTAAGCAATTAAGTATTTCCTCATCAACCTTGGTATCGGTAGCACCAGTAATCATCACAGACTGTGATACATTTATACCAGATTGCTCAACAAAATCCATTTTGTCTTTTTTTATTAATTATTAAGTATTCTTTATTTTACCTTTTGAAAAAGTTGAATATTTTACTTAGAATTTCCTATTCCCACAACTGAAATAAATGTTCAAAATGAGAAATAGCCCAAAAAAAAAAAATTTTCACACACACAAGCTCCTGGCTAGCTCGCCACGTGTAACGCTTATTTAAGGCTAGGCGCCTGACAGCAGCAACAGCTATTCAGATCTGAGTCACCTGTGACCCGGAACTTAAAGGGTGCTATCAATTTGACCCGCCAAAATAAAATACGGGTTCTTATTTTATGCAGGTTACAAAAGTGTAAACATTTGACATTTTGTCTACAGTAACTGACCGACCTGCTGCTTGCTTTTGTTTTTCAGATATAAATGTGGGATCCAAGTCCATCCTGCCTCAAATCCAAACTGAGCAGAATACCCTTGAAGTCCCCAAGTCACCTCCGTCACCCAGAGTTTTCCCTGAAGAACCAGTTGACAAGAACAAACGAGCAAATGTGGAGGGGTCATTTTTATAGAAGCTTTAGTTGCTACAAAAGAAGAAGAAGAAGATATTGAACAGATTGTCCTTTTTCTACAAGTAAAGATGCTTTTCTTTATGGAGATATACCTTAACTAAAAAGCTTACAATTTGTGCTTAGATTTCAGTGTCGGGGCCATTTCTCCACTAGTTTATGTGTTTAGATTCCTAGTTAACGGTAATGCAGGTATTATTGTCTTAAGTATTTTTTCTACAGAACTTTCATATTGGATTTTTACCAGTGATGCATTAAAAAACTTATGTATTTTTGAATTACATATTAAAAACCTTATAAGACACCAAATTATCATTAATGTATCTTCAGTTTTGTCTCATTTTTCTTTTATTCTCTATGGTAGCATGTCTGCATTTGATCTTTTCTCCTCTCCAGGATAAATTCAGTCATACTTAAATTGCCAGCGTTTCCTATTTAACAGTCTCTGTTACTATTTTTCAACGGGTTCAGGTTTTTTGGACATGAGGTTTGTGAAACGTTCACCATCTGTTGCTGAGATGTAATAGTGTCTCTATCGTCACAGAGCCTCCCGCTATGAGAAACTGCCGGAAACTGTCTTCAGCTCTACCGTGGCAGAGAGATAGCAGGCAAAAATAGTCATAATTGAAATCTGACACAGTGGTGGGATGTTTTTAAATTGTTGAAATAGAATAACCAAACACATGCAAAGTTTTCTAGTGTAAAAATCTTTGATTACTTGTGCCCCATGTACCGTACTGCAGGTACACTGTTGAAAAATTAGAGGTATGATTATAAATATACGGTTGAAAACATATATTTACATACACTATGTTGCGATACTAACTTTTTTAATTTGTTAAATTTCAAACAATGATAATTATTTTGCAGAACATATATATATATTTTTTTTTTCAATATTCATTTGCCTAAGTCCACATTTCAAGAACACTGTTTCCTATTCCTAAATTTTGAAAATGTGGCTGAGCTAAAAAGCCAACTGTAGTTGTCTGTTTATTTGTTGCATTTTTTCCTGAAGCAGCAACTGCATGAACTGAAAAAGCTGCATGCTCCATTAATGTGACTGATGATTCTCACCTGTGTGGGACCTACCAGAAAAGAGAACCGAGACAAGGGGAAGGCTTCCCAGGTTTTTTTTTTGTCTGAACTATAACTTGATTACCTTTTTTTAGTAAAACTGACGTAAAAAAACTGACACTAGGGTTGTTACCCTATAGAGCTCTGGATGGAGCTGCTGGAAAAACCAGCTGAGAAGCTGCTTTCAGATGAACCAATGGAAGGCCAGGTGAGACCACTGTGCAATTATTGCTGCTACCAGCTAAAAATGATCCTGATAGCCATTGTTTTCAGTCTGCTTGCTTTCAATTATGATTCATCTTAATGTTTTAATTTTATATCCACTTTATTCTGGTTCAGTTTGGCTCATATTAAGGAAATCCACCAGAAAGTCGAAGCAAGGATGAGATTTGGTCTCCAAACTGGATATAACCTTAAGTGAATCACTAGTTACTTAGCAACCTAAAGAAAAAAAATTTTTAGTGTCTTCAATTAGGAGGAATTTGAAGCTTTAAAATGAGAAAGTAATAAAGAATCAAATTTTGCTGGCATTTAGCTGAAGTACAATAATCCTAAATGACCTACAACGTATAAAGTTTTATCAATTTAGTCTTATTTTAATGTCAGACAGTAAAAATAGCTTCCTGCATGCATGTGTGTCTTCTCGAGAGCTTTTATGCAAACTTTATGTTTTAGCATCTACAAATTATTCAACAAAGAGCGATGAACGGTATGTTGTTCATGTCACGTTTCTGTAGCATAGCAATTATTTTCCTGACAGTGAAGACTGTTGTATTTTCTGCAGCTCAACAATCTCATCAGCTGGGCTTTAGGGCTGCAGTCAAGATACCGATCTTGAATGTGCAGCATTAAGCTCTTGTCACTAGATGATAAATACATCATTAATCTTTATCTGTTCTAGGGGGGATTATTTATTCATCTGGAGATGCATTCACACGGACATTGTTGGCAGCTATTAAACAGTGCACCATCACAAACATATTACTGCGTTTTTGACAGTTGGTATTGGGTGCACACATGCCATGCATACTTACATCCACTGCTAATTAGTGATTCCTAGCAAACAAAAACTGTCGTCTGACACAGATGTATGCATTGCTTATTAAAGCGGTCCCTCAGCCAGCCTGTATGTAAGCTGTGGATTCACCTATACACACATTCATTCTATGGGTCCTTTGTTTCCTGCTCTGTGTGTGCACACACATCACACCTGGCCATTCATCACTGTCTGTCTTCCTCTGAGGCAGCAGATGTTGCAACACTATCATAATTCTTTAAAAGTTCCAAGCCAGACTGTGTCTTCAGGGCTCTTGGGGTCTAACCTACTTACACTGCAGTCTGTGCCCCTGCAGCTTATCATGGGCTAACATGTTGTCTTCCTGTGAATTAGCATTGCATTAAATAGGTATGCATGTGAGTCTTTTCAAAGGCAAGAATAAAAAGAAGGGGATGATCAGGTGAAGAGTGATTGCTTTTTAATCGGAGTCTACCTTGAATTCTGAGATGCTGCATAGTAAGAGCTAAAGTGAAAGCTATATTTTTATCTACAGCTACTGGTGTGTTCATCAGATTTAAATGCAAAACACTGCCTTTTCCATGCACTTCACAGTCTGCTGCCTCATTCATCTTTACAGAAGAAAAAATAAAGCCCATCTTCCTCTTGGTATAAGTCATCAAAACTAACATATATCACCAGATAGAAAATATCACATTTTCTGTAAGAAACAGGCTTGCTTCTAGGTAATATTTATGTGAGGAAGTTTGAGCCACAGTGGCACAGATATGCAGGAGCACGGCATCAATTCTCACAAAGCTGAAGAACTCCGACTTACGAATGTTTCATGAAACTCTATAAATGAAAGGAAGGGAGTATTAATCTATATTTGGTATGGTAGGAGGTAATTGGAAGCAGCAGTACATCAGTTTGACTAAAACAGCAGATTTCAATTTTAGCTCAGGGCTGTGCTCAGGTCAGAAGAACTTATCTTTAGAGTGGATCAGTGTGATAGAAATATTTCTACAAAACCTCAAGCTTTATTTCTTATCAAGAATTGCACACTCTACAGACATGCCACTTGGCTTTCACAGTGCATTTGGGATATTTGCGCTCCCATTTTGAAATAATTGAGCAGATAATCAGAGTTAACAGTAATGAACATAAATGTTTAAACTCACCTGTCTATTCTTTGCATAGCCTAACTATGATTGCTGATAAACAGAAAAAGCAGAATATTATGTTAAAGAAAGAATTCCAAAAGTAAAAACTAACCCTCACAGTGCACTGAAGGAGGGATTGGCAGGAATGAACAATTCATACATCTTTACAAGAGAAACGTAATACATCTTCACCAAGTTTGATTGAACGGTTTGATAAAGTTTAAAATGTTCTCATTTCTTCATTCAGAATACATCTTTCTATGCTGTACAGCTTAGGCACATATGGCATCCGTGACTGCACTCCAGAGTGAAATAACTCTGCTAAGTTCATAAAGAAATCGGTACTGGATAGTGTTGGTTTTGAATGATTGGCTCAATGAAAACCAACTTAAACATGTTCCTTTGCTTATGTTAACATAATTTTTTTGTGATGAAAGACCTTTGTATATCTTATAACCATGATCATGGTTGGGTGTTGGAGGATTTAATACCTCTAGTTATTCCATTTGATACTTTGTGTTTTTAAAAATGTAATTTATGCTTTCCTTTTGGTCAGTTTTAGTCAGGTTATATATTTTCATTCATTATTCATTGTTTCCTCCATATTGTGTTTAGTAACTCGCCCTAAAACACACATACTCAAGATTAAAAATCCCACCTACTGTAAATTTCCCTACTCTAAGAAGATAAAAGTTCTTTCTAATCTTTTCTATTTAATCCAGTGGGTTTTGTAGCTTCAATTCATTTTATTTATATAGCAGCAATTCGACACATCATCTCAAGGCTCTTTACAGAGACAATTCAACCAGATCATACAGTCAAATTGATTCATTGATCGCAGCGACTTATTGACTCGAAGGCAATCCCTCACACCAAGCATGCATGTAGCGACAGTGGAGAGGAAAAACTCCCTTTTAACAGGAAGAAACCTCCAGCAGAACTAGCCTCAGCGTGAGCGGCCATCTGGCAAGGCCGGCTGAGGTTCAAGGAGACAGAAGCAGACATTCAAAAGGCAACGGTCAACCAGCTCCTAATGCAGCCCCCTCCAGGTAACACAAAGCCAGGCAGATGAACTCCGAGCCAGCTCCCATGTCAGAGGATGAAGAGAGCACATCCAGCCAGTCACAGTCAGAGAAACAGGACTACACTGAAAAAACAGGCCGCTCTCGAACATCTATAAACAAAGGTGTTGATGACGACATCATAGTTGATATTTCTCTCTGGGACGGCATCACAACCAAACGGGAACAGACCAGATGAAGCTACTAGGAGAAAAAGCAGAAAGAGCATAAGCTTAAAAAGTTATGGACGGATTTTAATTATATTTTTATTAGATGTGTCCTTCCAGCCAAGGAAAAACCCATTAAATTTTGGTGATAATCCAGATCATAATCTGGATACAGGAATGTTTTAAAAGATTCTCTGACATTGTGAGATAGGGATATTTTGTGGAACTAGAAGTTCCCCACTATTGACAGTCTCAGCATTGGAATAAAAAAGTCCAGAAATATTTCTATGTAGACAAAAACAAGGACAGGAAACGTTGGTTTTTTAGCAGGATTAAATTAAAACTTCTGAACGGATTGCATGGACATTTTTTAACAGAGGTGCGCCTCATGCCAAGGAACAATTAATTTAAATTTGATAATGATCCAATTCATGTGCAATTTAGCTATAGGTGTAAGTTACAATATTTGGTAAAATTTGTTGCTTTGTGGAGGTCTGCGGTCTCTGAGTTTGTAGTTCCAAATATATGTGATGTCAAAATGATGTCATAAGTAGCAAGCATGCTTTGTGTTTGTGGAAGTAAACATGGATTATAATGCAGAAGCTTTTTGCAATCCTCTTCTTTTTTTCAACCAGAAGCAGCAAATTATTCCCCCTTATATTAATTAAAACAGAAACCTTGTTTCCTCTCCATTTACAGTTCTCTATTCATTATCATCCATCATGCGGTTTTTCCAATTCCTCATCGCATGACTTACAGGTCGGATGAATGCTACTTCATCTTCCAGGCAGGCGGTGTCCCAACATCCACCCTGAGCCCTAAATCCATCAATCACTAT